TTAAGACGAGATGTGAGTGTCTGTCAGTTGGTCCTGTTATTTATTGTCTTGTTATTAAATATAAGGTTGAACTACTTATACTTTAGATATTTAAATTTAAAATTTTTAATAGCCCTTTAAATAGAGATGTGTTTTCCACATCGATTATTAAATCAATCATTATAAAATAACATTATTTCTTTCAATTTATTTTCAATCAAAGGCTTTAATAAATAAATAACGATAGAATTTGCCACAAAACATTTGCTCTCCTTTCTTTATTAAAGGGTAAAAAATCTAAAAATACTTAAGTACAACCCCAACCCTAATTTTAACCCTATTATTGGTCATTCGAGTAGAAAACAAGATGACGTACAAACGAAATGTGTGTTTAAAACAGAAAGTAATTATGGTGATTTAGGAAAGCACTTTTCTTATTTTATAGCAATAGTTAGGAGCTATTAATTAAATTTATCTTACCTGAGACAGTGATTATGTATAGGGTGATTGAATATGAAAAACTTGGTTAATTATTAATAAAATTATAATATTTTTTTCTCTAAAATATGTCTCACTAATATTACAATTTTAAAAGTTACATTTTCCCTATTTTATTGATAGATTATGACAAAATACAGAAGCTCTTTATTTGATGCTGTTTTGAATTAGAAAAAATCGGTTAAACAAGATTACTAGATAGATTAAAGATCCTGATACTTTTCTATAAAGTAAGATTAGATTAGACTGTGTCAAACAATTTAGTTAAAACTATACATACATTTACTTTTAACTTGTTAGTACATTTAAATGAAACTAATATTTTCGGATGTACTTCGCGATTTTAAATTTTAAACTACACACTTCCGACGTTTCAGTTACTTTACAGCAACAGTGATCACGGGCAGACGAGATGAATGTATGCATCGTCGTAATTGTGTAGATACATATATACCTAATTAAAAAAGCGTAGTATCAGAAAAACTTAGATTTATTTATAAGAGTATATACTCTATTATATGTGATTGGTAATCTTGTATCTAAATTGGTAGTATATACTCTATTATATGTGATTGGTAATCAAAATATTTTAAAGCAAGTTGAATTAGAAAACTTATTTGTCATATAAAATTAATTGATATTTATTACTTAGATGCATAGTGATACAACGTCAGTCTGGAGCTCAGGCTGGGAGTATGGAAGAAGACGAGGATTGGAGGCACGAGAGACTTCCCAAAAACACCAAAAACTACGCTCGAGATATTGAGGTACATATTTCTTTTAGCTATTACCACTTACCTATTTTATAATAGATTTGTTTGGGGTTATTATGATTTACTATACAATAATATAATATGGTATAGTATAGGCTATAATCTCGAATTCTCTTAAATATTTGTCCATCTCGAATTGTTCCGAATTCCCATAAATATTTCAAAAATTATTTTGGCTCGAGTCGCACGTAAAGGTACCGCTCGATTCGTTAGCTATACTCGATAATGAAGAATTCACAATACGACCAGAATTAAAACTCTAAACAAAAAGACTACTTAAAGTCATCAAATATACAAGGTGGCAGAGCCTATGTGGTCAAGTTACTACAGCTCGTACATGTGCTGTCTCGACCGGGGAAGTACCACCCTCTCACAGAAGATCGGCGTGAAGTAGTAATGACTGAGTTTCATCCGATGAGTAAGAGAGCCGGTTGCCCTTTCCCTGTTCCCAACCTTTCCTTATATTTCCTTATTCCCACCCCTCCCTTTTCCTCCACAACTAAGGTTGTCAACGCATCCGTAACATCTTTTCAAAAAAAATACTTTCCAATCATCTCTCATTTGTTTCAGATAATAAAACCAGAATATCTGAAGTACATAGGCCCGGCTGTGAAGAACGAATTGAACAAGATAAAAAATAAAATTAATGCTTTAAGAAATCATATCATATAGTTTTTAAGCGACTTTAAAAGGAGGTTCTTAATTCGACTTTATTTTCCTTTTATGTTTAATTGTGGTTTGGTGACAATAAAACAGAATAATATGTCTTACCATTACTATATACTTTACGTTACTATATACTTTACGTTACTATATACTTTACATTACCTATGTACTTTACCATTCAATCTTCAATGTATGAATCTGTGAATTGACTCCTTATTTTTCATTGAGGCTAAAATTTATTTAATAGAACATAAATAAAATTAAAACCGTTTTTGGTGGTTTTAAGTAGTGGTGGCCTAGTGATTAAGACTCGCCTTTCATGCATGAGGGCGCGGTTTGATCCTGGAAAGTACCAATGTGATTTTTCCGAGTCATATGTATTTTCTAAGAGTATCTAGACATCTCTGATTAATGCTTATTCCCAAAAGAGGGTTGATGTCAGGCAGGCGGCCGGTCGTAAAAACTATTCGCAACATGTAAGGCAGATCCTGGCTGAAGCTGGGAGATTGCCAGTTTGAACAAGAAGAAGAAATAAAATTACTAACTTTTTATGGTAAGGCAGGGAACAGTTATGTTCACAAATAAACTAACAAATATTGTTATATATTAAAAAAACAAGATAATCAACATTCTCTTTATTACACAAATGTTAATTTTTCCACAACACACCATACATGAAAACTATCCATCGATAATTTCAAATAGATATAAATTGCATATATCAATTTGCAATTTTATTGCTGCTTTACTTGCAAAAAGATATACAATGTTTTCATAAAGGCAACGAGTTTCAATATTTCATTTTATGGTCAATTAAATAATATGTAATGCGCGTTGAATATTGAATTTAAAAAACATCAACCAGTTGTATTTATTTAGTTTCCCATATTTGGGGTGGTATAAACAAATTTATATGCCAATAATAAAATTACATTATACGACATGTGAAAAATTCGCAAATATAGTAGTATAATATATAATGTTCTTAATATAACTACAATTTGAAATTTCTTAAAACCAACAGTTAATAAAATAATGAGATCTCAGAATTTCGTAAGTATTCATTTAAATGAAACTAATATTTTTGGGATGTACTATGCATTTTTTATTCAAATTATCTCGTCTTAATGATCACGGTTGTAAAGTAATCGAAACATCGGGAGTATGTATGTAGTTTTTCATAAAAAAAAATCGCGTAGTACATCCAAAAAATATTAGTTTCAGTTAATATAATATACAAAAGCTAAAATAAAATTTTCTAAAATAAAACGCGAAGTAAAATCCGAAAAATATTAGTTTCATTTAAAATAAAATTATTCCTTCAACTGGTTAATTCTTTGTAATATTCTTTCAAACATGCAATTTTCAATGTCTATTTTTATGAAATATTTCAAATCAAATTTCTATTCAATTCAATTTGAACATTATACCTTACCAACTGGACTTTTGGGGTAAAACTGCAAAAGCTACAAATATCAAAACTGTATCTAAGCTTAAATTTTAATACATCAGACTGTATATTGTAACGCTAGCTTTGACTTCAAAAACAACCTATTGCAAGTAATAATAATAGTTTATTTATCAAAAACTTTACAACAATATAAACATTAGTCTTTATTGTAGTACTGGTTATAAATAATATTAAAATTATATAATGAGATCTAAGATTTTCGCGAGTATGCATTTAAATAAAACTAATATTTTCGGATTTACTAAATAACAAGACCGACTGACAGATATTCACATCTCGTCTTAATGATCACGGTTGCTGTAAAGTAGCCGAAACATCGGGAGTATGTAGTTTATAATAAAAAAAACGCGTAGTATCCGAAAAAATTAGTTTCATTTAAATTAAAATTACATTTATTCTACACAAATCAACAAATAACTCAAGTTTGAAACACAATCTGTTTGAAATAAGTCAAAAAAACAAAATTCTTTTACAATCGGGTTCACATAAATACATATTCTAATTTTGGCACATAATAATACTGATACAACACTAAAATATATAATAGAATACATAAACACTTCACAAATAACATATATATATGAATTGCAAATATATTAAGCATTTTGCAAACATACTAATATTTTATTAAGAAAATTGCAAACTATTCAAAACTTGTAAATTTAAATTTGCAGATAATTTGATCTAGTTTTCCCAAAGTGAGTTGATGGCCACATGTTAGGCAGACCCTGGCTAAAGCTGGAAAATTGCCAGGAAGATAATATGATCTGGTTAGTGCCAACACTGGATTTTAGCTTGGTTTTCTATTTTCTATTTATGTAAGAAAATTCTGGAAGTCTCAAATCAAATTTGCATTATTTCTTAACCTCTAGAACAATCCACCAGCTACATTTAAAGGTGAGCTAATATCTTTGTTATCACCATAATAATCTAATCTATATAAATACTAAAATATTTATTAAATTGTAAAAACAACACATTTTTTTATATCATTCTTATACACACATTAAATAATGAATCCACTCAATCTATATACAATGAGAACACAATTTTATTTTGTATTTACTTATAAATAGGTACTACATCAGATTAACTCTAAAGTTTTCTTCATTTATTTCTATTTATCAGTACTTTTTTTGTACAAAATTTATATTTTATGAACAGTTTACGGAAAGTTCGTATCACCGTATACGGAGTTGTTTATGGTTTATACGGAATAAAAACTATTTATACGGAACTATTTCTAGTTTCTGATTCATGAATCTTTGAACATTATATTATCAATGTTGTGTTATGGATGAAAATTTTACGATTTTCATATTTAGTGTAACGATACAAACTTATAAGCGCATAGCTTTCTATTTGTTACTATAGACGAAGAATGTGAAAAAAAAAATACATTATTTTTCATATATTCCACATAATATAACAAAATATTTCATTGCAATTTATCGTATTGCATTTTTTTATATTTAAAAAATTATTAAACAATTAGTTTTGCAATTTATTTTCATTACAAAGTAATAAAATCTTTTGGTAATATTCGTAAATCTAATATATTAGGTTTTTCTTAATAGGAGTTCTAGCTGAATACTAAACAATTATATTTTTACTGCATACATTATCTAAGCTATAATCTGAACATGTTTTTTCTCTCGAGGTTCTTTGAGAACGTATGAGGTTGTTCGTTTCAGTGTGCTGTAGGAACCTGAAAAAAATATAAATTATAAATTAGTATTATATAATGAATTAAAATATATACCCTGGCTAAAGCTGGAAAATTGACAGGTAGAAGAAGAATGAGTTGAAATAAAAAACAACCCAAGTGCAACTTATTTAACAAGTATAAACAATTTTTAAGTACATAGAACCTAATTCTACTGCATTTTGTAGGTCCTTAAATACAATAAAATTGGTTTCAATGTTATGAAAAATTGGTATTACTTAATGAGATCAAAGAGTTTCTCGAGTTTTATTCATTTAAATAAAAGTCATATTTTTCGGATATATGTAGTACCCTTGCTTTATTTTTATAACAAATTAATTTGTTAATCATATATATATATATATATATATAATTCTTCTGTGAGTGTGTATGTCACTGAACTTCTCTCAAACGACAGTACCGATTTAAATGAAATTTTTTCAAGGGGATCTGGGAATGGTTTAGATTCGCAATTTTGTCCGCTGGACAATGTTTTTTTAATCAATTTTTAATTTATTAGTAGTTGTTGATACAGACGTTTTTTTGACATTAGATTTGTCAACTAACTAATATGTCAATCATTCTGTCGCGCTTCAAAACACGGAGATTTATGGCTTTAATAGGTAAACTCCAAAAATATAAATAAAAAAACGTAACAGTTATTTCTTGGTTATAGGGCGATATGAAGTTCGCCGGGTCTTCTAGTATATATATATATATATATATATATATATATATATTGCTAGTCGTATGTTTATATCACCTGGAGGTCTTCGTAGAGCGGACGCGGGCGCGGGTGACGCGGGGGCGGATGCGCCGCGCCGCGCTGACCGCTATGACCATCTCAACTCCTTCAACTCGACAGTACTGGACGCGTCGTTCTATACAAACAATAACAATTATAATATTGATTCTCCATGTCAGAAGATGCTTTTGTTCGACAAGGGCTGTGATAGGCTGATGATGATGAAATCAATTAATATATGCATATGCAATAATTTTAATGGGTAAGCCTATGGGATAACTACTATACATATGTTAATTGAATACTCGAAAGGAATTAATAAATGTTATAAGTTTAAATTGTATTCTTCATATGGATTGTCATTAATTATAAAACTAAGACGTCCCACTAATAAAGTAATTGCTACCAATTAGTGTGATCAATTAACCACTATAGCATGCAGCAAGAATTACGTGGAGCTATTTAAGGATAGATAGACAATACTCTTCATATTCTTAAATGGGATAAAATAAGACTGTTCTAAAGTAAATATAATAACAGTATCATCCAGATACCTAAGTAATGCGTCGTCATCATCCTATCAGAGCCCACTGCTGAGCAAAAGCCTCTTCTCACATGGAGAAGGTTTGAGCATTAATCACCACGCTTGCTCAAGACAGGTTGGTGATTTCAAACTTATAATTGTAAAGTAAGTCCTGGTTTCCTCATATTTTCCTTCATCAGTCAGTGATGTCTAAATACTCTTGTAAAGTACATATGACTCACAATCACATTGGTACTTGCCAGGATCGAACCCGCGCCTTCATGCATGAGAGGTGAGCCTTTAACCACTAGGCCACCACTGACTTATTATATTATATATATGTATATATTATGAGCTACAAACCTCACAAACATCTCCCGTTGGTACATGTGTGCCGCGATCACAACGCGTGCAGCAAGGTCGGGGGGCAGAGCGAGTCTTACCGCCGCGAAGAGCAGCGCTTAGCTCCTAGTAGAAGAAAACAATAATAATAAGAAGAAAATGATTTTAAAGTATTGACTTGACTGTAGTTATTAGCCCTAATGGCTTTAACAGTGTCACCGGGAGATGGAAATGATGATTTCAATACGAATATCCTAATATCATTGTTTTCGTACTTTGGTTTAATAGTCTACTATAAGAAATTTGACAAGGCTTTCAATTTAAAAGTTGGATCGCAAAAATATGTTATGGTCGATTTTTTAAGCGAATTCCTTTTGTTATGTACAATGTTTTAAATATTTACGATTAGAGAAAATAATGACCAGTTATATAATGACCAAAATATTAACTAGTTACTAAAATATCTCCTCACCTGACCCATTTCACTACAGAGCGACTGTCTTCCTTGTGATGCATTTTTCTTTGTGTTCCAACAGAATTCAAGAATAGCGACAACTATCGCAAGCACGAGACCGCACAGTAATGTCACGAAAACACCACCTGTAATAATATTTTTATAGTACTTTAAAAATATGTAGAAATTCACTGCCTTAACTAATCAGTTATCAAAATATTGTCTTTTTTAATTCTCTATGACTGACAGGGTGACTGGTGAATTACTATCGATATTTGAGGACGTGATATTTGACGAGCATATATGACGAAATAAAAATTAATATAACATAAATATTAATAAACTTCTATGTAAAGTTAACCAAAAGTTATGTAATTAATTACGCATCGTGTGAACACCCTACAGATTAGGTATACACACACACACATACGCGTGCGGTGGCGTGCTGATACAACACTACGTCCACACTTGGAACACTTGGAACGTGTCAACACTTTATTTATTTATACGGAAATTTGGTCAAAAATTAAGTACCTATTTTTTTTATATAATTCGAATAAGAATCATGTACCGAGTATTCTCCTTAAATATTGATAGTAATTCACCAGTCACCCTGTATATACTTCGAGACGAATAAAAGATTCAAACATTTAAAAGTATTATTGAAATTTTCTCATTGAATAGTAAGTTAAATAACATGCACGAAAATGTATCTTTTATTAAATACTAGCTTTCCGCCCGCAGCTTTGCTCGCGTGGAGTTCGGTTATATCGCGTCTCCAAGAGAACCTTTCAAAAGTCTGGGATGAAAACTATTCTATGTTCTTTCTCAAGGTCAACTCTATATCTGTGCCAAATTAAAATCAGTTCAGTGGTTTAGGCGTGAAAGCGTAACAGACAGACAGAGTTACTTTCGCATTTATAATATTAGTAGGGATTTCAAAAAGAAACTAACCAATATTTTGTACTCCTAATGGATTCGCCTTGCTATCCTTGCCGTCCCGGTTGCACACATCGCCAGTATTTTTCCACCATTTATCGTATAATATCTGAATAACCCCCTTTTCTTGTAACTCTAATATTGCGAGTGATATTTTATCTCTCCATGGGCTACCTTTCCAAGTGGCTATTCCGTAACCCTGGAATTTTTTACATATTAATTATTACCGCTAACTAAATAAGAGAATTAAATTTACACAAAAGGAATAATAATGTCTCTTTTTTACACTATCTTTTTCCATAAAAAAAGCAATAAAATTCCTTACACCTTAATTAACAAAGTCAAAAATATACCAATTTACAAATCAAAACTATCAAAATGAATTTTGGTAACACGAATTTGGATATAAAATATATAAGCTTTGATAACACATAACTTAAAGAACTATTAGTACAAATTAGACAAAATCAAAAAAATTATAAATTTCCAAAACAAAACTATCAAAATGATTTTATTAACACGTATTTGTATATAAAATATATAAGCTTTGATAATATCACATAACTAAAAGGATTATTTGTACAAATTAGACAAAATCAAAAAAATTATAAATTTCCAAAACAAAACTATCAAAATGATTTTATTAACACGTATTTGGATATAAAATATATAAGCTTTGATAATATCACATAACTTAAAGGACGTATTTCGTATTTGTGCATTTCGTATTTACCTTAGTATTTGTGTATTTCGTATTTACCTTAGGACGTATTTCGTATTTACCTTAGAGTCTAGTAGCCCGCCGACTTGAGTAAGGTTGCAGTCTCTTTGCACGCGGTGGTCCAACATAGTTGATTCCATAAGAAAAGCGTAATTACCCGCTAACACTCGACGCACGCCCTCCTCATATGACGCTACTAACGCAGGAGGTGAAGCGCGTGACATATGATCCCACATACGCTGATATATATCTATGTTTGAGTCCTGGAAATTAGTAACTATATGTTTTTATTTTAATAAAAATTGTGCAAAGTTTTTGCACAAAAAGTGTGCTATGTTTTTGCACAATATTAAAGTGTGCAAAGTGTCTTTGCACAAAAAGTGTGCAAAATGGTTTATGTGTGTAAAAACTAGTAATTCTTATCTGACAGAATTGCTAAAAGTCATTATATGTGGATAAGTGATTACACTGCTTACATGGAATTATTTACTTATACACTATATGAATTTTTAAATGTGTAAAAGATTTCTATTATTCAATTTTACCCAGACCTGTAAATTTATTAATATTTGTGAGATATTTCTAATAGTATTATTAAAAATATTCTTTACAATCTCATTCTCAACACAAACAGGTATTTTTTCATACAAATAACTTATTTAATATACCTATTATCCAAGAAAATCTTAACAATCTTTTACCTCAACTCCTCAAATTTATACATGTAATGAGAATATGATATTTTTGGTTTAAACTGACCCTAAAGAAAGTCATAGTGGATCCTCCACTCAACGTTCCGTACTGCACGCTGTTCTGTGCTGCAAGATCAGCAGCACTCTGTATGGGCAGCACTGTTCGCTCCACGGTCAGAAATGCTGCCAAATTAGCAGTATACGAAGACAGAATGATCAGCGTAAAGAACCACCAGATGCCGCCAACTATTCGAGTCGATGTTGCCTGAAAACATGAAAAATTGCCATTATTTATATGTATATATATATATATATATATATATATACAGGGTGACTGGTGAATTACTATCAATATTTAAGGAGAATACTAGGTACATGATTCTCATTAGAATTATTAAAAAAAAATAGGCACTTAATTTTTGACAAAATTTCCGTAAAAATAAGTAAAGTGTTGACACGTTCCAAGTGTTCCTAGTGTGGACGCGCGCGGCGGCGTGCTGATACAACACTACGCCGCCGCGCGCGTATGTGTGAGTGTGTGTGTATACCTAATCTGTAGGGTGTTCATACAATGCGTAATTAATTACACAACTTTTGGTTAACTTTACTTAGAAGTTTATTAATATATATGTTATATTAATTTTTATTTTATCATATATGATCGTCAAATATCACGTCCTCAAATATCGATAGTAATTCACCAGTCACCCTGTATATATATATATATATATATATATATATATATATATATATATTCACTAGAAGACAAATAATTTACAATAAAATAATATTGTGACTATAAATTGAGATGTAAGCTACCCTATCTTTCAAGTTGGATCAAAATGCACACGGAATGCAAATCAAATTTAAAATCGGTTTAGTAGTTTAGGAGTCCATTGCGGACAAACACGTGACACGAAATTTTTGTATATATATTTATTTATATATATATATATATATATATATATATATATATATATATATATATATATATATATATATATATATATACTAGTCAAAATAAAATAAGGGCCACCATGTTTTTTTTAGTGTATTAAAAGAAATATGGGATTTAGGGATATGAAAATGATTAGATTAAATTATTTAATCAATTTTTAATGTAAAGAGCAGCAAATATTGTTTTATTACTCCAAAATTAACATCCCTTTCTTTTTTTTGGAAAAATCGACTTTTTAACCTAAAATACACAATATGAAAAAAGTGTCTTATTTAAAAAAAAACTGAACATTTGTTGAAATTTTGATTTTTTTCAGTAACGTGTGTGTCCTCCCCTTTTTCGAACACATTCTTCAAGCCTCGAAGGCATACTCTCCACCAGGTGTCGTATTGTCTCCAGAGGGATTTGTTCCCAGCTTGTCTTTAGCACGTTGAGGAGCTGTCGTTCGTTAGTTACCGGTTGATTTGTGTCACGAACGCTTTTTTAAATAAATCCCACATATGCTTAATAGGGTTAAGGTCCGGGCTATTGGCGGGCCACGGAAACACCTGTAAACTAGCTTCTTCTAGTGCTTCGGCAGTAGCTCTAGCTGTATGAGCGCGGGCATTGTCATGCATTAATTGGAATCCTGCACCAATTCTCTATGAAAATGACACCACGTGGAGTCTTATGACCTGCTCAATGTACCGTTGAGCCGTTACCGTGCCTTCGTTGAGAATTACGAGCTCGGTTCGACCTGATAGTGAGATTCCGTCCCACACCATTACGTTGGGACCCCCGAATCTTTCACTTTCGTGGATGCAAGCATCCGAAAATCGCTCTCCTTCTCTTCTACAAACTCTAATGCGACGATCATCACTAAAAAAAATTGACTTTGGATTCATCTGTGAACAATACCTTGCTCCAGTCATCAATGTTCCAGGCCTGGTGCTGCCTAGTGAACGTTAATCGCCTTGCACAATGTGCGGATGTCAGTGGAATACGCACTACTCGTCGTCTAGAGAACTGTTGGTCTTCATGCAACCGATTCCTAATCGTTTGGTCACTTACGCGGGTGCCCGTCGCTTGGGGCAAGCGGTTTTGTAAGGAACGGGCGGTGACGACTCGCTCTCTACGCGCAGTTAACCGTATGTAGCGGTCTTCCTGTGCTGTGGTTGCTCAACTCCTGCTTGATCCTAGTCTTCTGGTAACTCTCCCAGTCTCTTGAAACCTAATCCAAGCATTCTGGATTGCTTTCTGTGAAAAACCCAGCTGCAGAACTACAGAACGCTGCGAATGGCCCTGTTGAATCAGCGTTATGGCCATAGTTGTGATCTGTATGTCCATATGTCTTCGAATCCTCGGCATTATCCTTTAAAAATGATAATCACGCACTAACAAAGAGAATTCCTGCAGTTCACCAAGAACTCGACAGTTTAAATGACTCAAAAAGTCGACTTCAAATAGAGTAATTTTTAGTGACTTCGAAAAAAAAATTCATAATCGACCCACTTCAAAAATTAAGTAAGTGATATACTCTCATAATGTTTGTCAACACTTAATGTAACGCCATAAAAAAACTTAACTCTTAAAATTTATTAGATCGCTTCAAACGTCAAAATAAACAAGTGGCCCTTATATTGTTTTGACTAGTATATATATATATATATATAAAGATTAAGCATATTTTTTCCTATAGCAAAACATATATAACTAGCTTTCCGCCCGCAGTTTCGGCCGCGTCGAGTTCGGTTATATCGCATTTTCAAAAAAAATTTTAAAAGTCCGGGATAAAAACTATCCTATGTTCTTTCTCAAGGTCTACTCTATATCTGTACGACATTAAAATCAGTTCAGTGGTTTAGTCGTGAAAGCGTAACAGACAGAGTTACTTTCGCATTTATAATATTAGTAGGGATTTAATTTACCTTAGGATTCAAACCAGAACCCTGTCTTAGGAAAGTTCCGGTGATGAACCAGAATGAGTTGCAAACACTAAACTGATTCGTTAGCAGTTTGGTTTCGTGACCGCATATATGAGTGCTTGAGGACCTGGAATTATTAATAACGTTAGATAATATGATTAAATAAAACAAAATAAGGAACTTGATTCAGAACAAACATAAGGGGTAGTAAAGAATTACTTAACGTAATTATGATATAAATAAAATAGTCCACTAGTCAGTGGTGGCCTAGTAGTTAAAAGGTCAGCCTCTCATGTACGAGGGCGCGGGTTCGATCCTGGCAAGTACCAATGTGATTTTTGCGAGTCATATGTACTTTATAAGAGTATTTAGACATCACTGATTAAATCATTCCCAAAGAGGGTTGATGTCAGGCAGGCGGCCGGTCGTAAAAACAATTAGCCAAAACTATTTACAACATGTAAGGCAGACCCTGGCTAAAGATGGGAAATTGCCAGATATAAGAAGAAAGTAATCCACGAATGAACGTAAATGCCAATTTGAAGTAAAATTTATTTTGGTAATTATAAGGAAATAAAACCAAAAGTTAATATGTACTAGCTTTCTAATTAAAACTTTCTTAACGATATTGAATAATGAGTATTTTGATATGTGCTCGATTAATTCTTAAGTAAATAAAGTTTTATTTTCATACTTTTACTTTAACTGTGTATTGGTCATAGTATTATTTAATTATATTTTATAATGTTATTATAATAAGTATTGTTTGATTACCGAAATAAATAATTGTGTATGTATTGTTCATAGTATTATTTAATTATATTTTATAACGTCAATATTATAAGCACTTTTTGACAACCGAAATAAGTGATAGATTGAATGAATGAATGAATAAATGAATGAATGCGTAAAATAATAGTAAAATAATGACTTAAGATCATGTCTCACCATTCATAAGGCGAAAATCTGGCCATCACGAAAAGCGTGAAGCTGACTAGTATGTAGGCAGCGAGGACGTACAGCCAGATCTCAACTGCCAACGGATTTAAGAAACTGAACAGACGAGTCGGTTGTGATGAAGGCACCTGGTGGAAAAATAATACACATTTAAATACTTAGTAAGTTTAATAGCATAATAAGCATTTAGGATTTCGTATCCTCTTGATATACTACTTTAGTTATAACAGCATATGATATGAACTATGGAATTTCTGATGTCCGAAAAGATCATAATATTTTGTCTAAATGAAAAATATTTTTCTCATAACTACGCGTTATTTTATTATTTTAAACTACATACTCCCGACGTTTCGTTTACTTTGCAAATATGATCACGGTTTTAAAAAGAATAAAATAAGGCGTAGTAATCTGAAAATACATTTAGTTTCATTTAAATGAATACTCGCGACAGTCATAGGGCTCTTTACAAAAGAAATTTGTAGGAACAAATTTCTATTATATATTTCGTGAGAAGAGCAGAATAATGCAATATTTATTACAATTGTTTTTTTTTTATTTTGACTGGATAGCGACTGACTTTCCACCCGTTAGAAGGTGAAAATGAAATGACAATTTTATTTAAATTATTGAAACAATATAATTTAACATAGGTGATATTTAAATTCATTTAATATTACAAATAAAATACTTTATGTTTGAGCTTGTCACTCATAACTTATAGTTTGTTGGAAAAAAATCGTGTCATTTTTTACTATAGGTACAGTTTATTGAGAGAGAAAATTAGGTAAAAATAATATGATTACTAAGTTAAATTGGCAAAAAAAGTAATCTTAATAGTAATATAAATATAATCGGATTCTTTTCTTTACCTTGAAGAGTATTCCAATTCCTAAATTCATGAATGGCTTGGTGAAGTCTATGACCGCTTCTCGAGCATAGTTTATAGTCATTGAGGCTACCGCGATGTCAGCTTTCTGAAATTAAAAACTTGTAATGAAAATCCTTAGAATAAATATATTGACTTTTCATTTAATTTGTGTGAAACAAATATATTCGGTATTTCTGACTGTTTAATATAAATCGTGCTGAAAGATAACAACTTAATTGTTAAGTATTTGTAAATAAAAATATATTTTAACCATCTTACCATAACTTCTTATAGTAAAATTAAATAGCGAAATTGATTTTAACAAACTAATTTAATTTTAAACTAATGTAAAAATCTTTGGAACTATACCTACTCTGAAAACCAAGGGCTTAAGGAAAAGATATTAAGTCCCCTTTAAGTATGGGGCATGACCAGGATTGTGCATTTTCACTTATGAAGTCATTTCGATCTCAATTTCTTTTAAGAGTCATACTATGAAATTGATAAAATAATCAATGCACAATGTGTCTATAAGGTAGAAATTCTAAAATTTTATATGTTTTTCTAGAGAGGCTACCAGTGTCTTCAGTATAATAAACATAATATTTTATCTTCTCTTCTACCTGGCAATTTCCCCGCCTTAGCCAGGGTCTGCCTTACATGTAAATAGTTTTGGCTAGTTGTTTTAACGACCGGCCGCCTGCCTGACATCAACACTCTTTTTGGGAATGAGCATTAATCAGTGATGTCTTAGCAAGTACATTAAAACATAACTAGTTATTAGTAGAATTGAAAACTGACATTCGCAAGTCTTTTTTATAAATTTGACTTATAATTCTCTATTTCTTTCTGTATACAATTAAAGTTACAGTTTCAATCTTGATTCTTAATGTTCATCGTTACTTCCAGTAATGTGTTACAAGATGTGTGAAGCCAGTATTGATAGTTTACAAACACGTGATACTTATGTTGATATAAAGTACATATATACTATTATTATACTTATAAACTACATATGACTCGGAAAAATCATGGGTACTTGCCAGGATCGAACCCGCGCTCATGCATGAGCATGGCCTTTTAACCACTACTGACTTAAATAATATTTTGTCTTATGGTTTCTTGTATATTTTTATTCCCTCACCCGATCCACAAGTTCTCTAACTATTCCATTCCATTGTCCCGTCGCGGGATCCCTCGCTCCGTACACATTTCCAGGAACCAGTCGTAGTCTATAGCTGAACCCAGCGCGTGCAGCTACTCTCGCTAGCAGATCAATACAGAAACCCTCAAAACGAGCGTTACCTTGAAGATTCCATCCTTCCTTCACCATAACGTAAGGTTTCTCCTGTAATTTATGGTCAAAAATATTTTATTTTTCTCAAAACGAAATTAAATTTCACTTACTTGAGAAAATTATGATTATAAACAATGTATTTTTAATTAAAACTTCGACATACATAATAAATGTGTTACTAGTTTAATATATTTGAACAATAAATTTTGCTTTAAACAAGAAATTTAAAATGTACCCTCAAAGCATTTTTACATACTCGTATATAAATCATCTTATTGAACCTCTTATATAAATTATCGCATAAACTTCGAAAGTGTTTGTACCACTTATACATTGTAACCAATATTATCATGAGAAATTTACTGATCATATTTTAGAAGGGATATTTTAACTTGCAAAACCAACTGATGGGATAGAACGTACAAACTATATGCAATCTTAGGGAGCGTTCATAAATTACGTGAGGTGTTTTTTTGAAATTTCTAAATCTTTCCCCCCATCTCACAATCTCAAAGTATAAAAGATTTTTTTTAACGAATTATTGAATGATCTTCATCGTATAACGATTACGTTTAAGATTAAATCTTATATGTACAATCTGGATTAAATGGACCAATATAGTATTTTTTTTTGTTTCATTCAGAAATAAACTACGTGATATTTACCGACACCCCCTCCAATGTAAGATTAGATGAGATTGATTCAACTGAAATATCTCACGTATTTTATTAATTTCAATTTATAATTTAAAACCTAATATTTGCATGCCTTATGGTAGAATGTACGTAAACTTATATTAAAATCTATTTGTACACCTATATTCTGTACCTACATACAGATCGAATAAATATTATTATTATTATTTTTATATTTGTCTTCTCGGTTTACACCGGTAGAATATAAGTAACTTTTACGGACTGGCGTCAAGTAGAGGTCACTGTTGGGTTGATTAAGTATGTGGAAAGGTTTCATATAATTCTAAAAATTTCCTAACTATTCTACATGTGTTCAATATAGTGGATTTTTGGTATTGTATATAAGAAGTGGGTTTCAGTCCGTTAAGTTTATTATAATTATTATTATTATTATTTTTATTATTATTGGGAATTTTGTTTTTCTCAGCCCGTAAGCTGGTGTAAACTACATTCACGGATATAAATCAAGTAAATGCAGTATGTGGTATGTGTTATTTATGTAAATACTATTTATGTTGTTGTGTGATTCTCTTCTAATTGCATGAACTTTCTTACTATTCTACATGTGTTCAATATAGCGGCTTTTTCTATAGAGATATAGAGGGACTCATTTAAATATAATAATCTTAGTCTATTATTATTATTTTGCCTTATATACCTTGTGAATCATGTAATGAAAGGCAATTGAGTATTGATATATTGTAATATAATTTACAATATTTATTTGTTATGACGATATTACAGTTCGGTGGTAGAATGGCGACTCCGCGCCAGAACATATAATAATGTATTAAATTGACAATGTAGCATATCGAATATCGACTTGTTTCTAGGTGGCATTATGGACAGTGATTTTTGCTTACATTAATAAAAGATTATTATTATGAACGCCCCTTACAATCTAAAGTATGAAACCTAACATACCTCTACAGTAACCACAGTAAGTGTAACATTCGGTGGTGGGTCTCTTCTATATGCAGCGGGGTCAGTGACTTCCAAACCCCCTTTTTTGGTCCAATGCCCTGCTAACACAGCAGCCTTACGTTCCGCTGATAATCTCATTAACTGAAGATTGAATGTATTACGGTTGCCGTTGGTAAATGCGATAGGACCAGTCAGACCGTGTGCTTGGACCTTCAAAAAAATATTACCATTAGCTCTAAATCATAATTATCACATCAAGGTAGGAAGATTTGCTAAACTAGGAAGAAATAAATTAGAAGTTATCCAGAAAGAAAATGAATAAGCAATAGATTGATAGTTTGATATGTGATTAATTGCTTCTACAGATTTAGGAGACGAAAGCTATAAGAAAGCAATAGTGGGTAGTATATTTTCTTTGTTAACTTTAATTATGAAAAATACTTTAACTCTCAATGCTTGTAAATATTTCAAACCTTATTTATGTTCTCCAAAAGCTCACTGCCGTGTGCAATAGTTGTTTCCGTGTCGCAAGATGCGTTAGTGGCGCTAACATCGCGAGTCGAAGCTAGCGCTAACGCAAGGATTTGGACTGCGTCGTAGAGAAGTGCCGGTTCCGTCTTTGAGATACAACAGAAAAACTTATAATATACACAAATTATGTTGGTTGGTTGTTTTAGATATTGCCTTCATCGGTGCAAAAATGTGCATATATTTTGCCAGTATCGTGTAGAATGGAGACACGATCCGGGATTAATTTTGGCAGACCCTGGCTAAAGTTGGGAAAATTGCCAGGAAGAAGACTATCCGGGATTAGCTTTAACAGCTTCGAATAAGAATACAATTAGGAACTTTGTTAGTAGATTTATAATAACACAAACATACATAAATGATACACGAATTTTTCCCTCCTGGTGACGTAAACAAATTCTTTAGTAGTAAGAGCTAAGTCAAGTCAAAATAAAAAAAGCGGTATTTTAAATCAAGGATCTTCTCTTAAATTGAAACCGATGTTTATTGTCTTTCATATCTAATAATATGTGTTTATAAGATTCATAACTTTTTTGTGGCCTATTACGGCGAAAAACTCCTTGTTGAATTAAAGTTAAGACTACTACAAAAACCAATAAATCATTACAGAAGTCAGTATGAATAATTTTATTACAAAAATAAGAAATCATTTTTCAAAAAGCCAAATTTAGATTATATTATTTAATGAAAACCTTCTCAGAGATAAAAGATTCTAGTACATCTCGTCCCAGATTTATTATTAGGATTGACGTTTGAGTTAAGAATTCAATAACTAATTTCTTTTAAAAACTTCCTCTTTGTGAACTTATTAATGGGCGTTAAACAGAAATGTATGAAATATTTTTTGAAAGACTAAAACACCTATATATTCTTAGTGACCCTACTGCACAAATAATACAATTATATGGAATATTAGAATAATTTATCTTCTTTTTCCTGGCAATTTCCCAGCTTTAGTCAGGGCTAGAATAATTTATAGACTATCTTGTTCTGAATTTTAATATCATTCTTCCATTTCATTATAATTAAAAAGTTTCTGAGTGAAACTAAAATCTATACATCCTCACAAACTCTTACATTTATAATATCAAAGTTTTTTACCTTAATATGGCCACCACTGAGTATTGATGCTCCAATAGGATGGAATTTCTCCATAACTGTAAGCACATCCTTAACTTTATCTGAGTCCCGATCTACTAAACGCCAGCCGCTCATATTGACGCGATTATAAAGAAAATCTTCCAGGTCAAATAACTCCATATCCTGGAATGAAAAAAAAGGGAATAAATTCAAAATGGCCAAAAGAAATCTATTAATTTGAGGTCTTTTTGTTTCCAGATGGAGTCTTAAATGTCTTTGTTGTTTATTATAGTAGCTTGAAGGATATTTCTATCAGGTTTAAAATAAATAGTTTCACAATAAAATATGATATCTAGTGCCTTAAGTTAAATAAGTTTTGCTACGTAGTACAACATTGAACATTTTGTAACATTAGAAGAATATATTCCAATAAATTACTCTTTTTGATTGAATCTGATTAAAATATGTAAAAATCTTAATACTTATTACGAAAAAAATATTGTTCATATACTTACGAACGTCGTGAATATGTAGTGATAGTTTTCGTTGTTCATTTGCAACTGCAAGATCTGAAAATACATATTATATATCAGTGATTTCATACAAAATAAGTGTATATATTACTATCAAAATATGTCTTCTAAACCGTACAGTACTTTTTTTAACGGTCATAGAAGCTAATACACTCACATGAACACAAAAGCTTTTTCAATAATTTTCTTTAATAAATAATATTTTAAAAAAAATCACGCTGTTTTAGCTAACCGAACTAAAAAACAGAAAATAATTGTCATTTACAAAGAAATTATTTTAATTCAGAGTAAAAATCGTGGGTCATTTGATATTAATGTTACAATCATTCTAGTGGTAACTATGTATGAAAGGAAAAATATGAAACAAACATACATACAAACCAAGCTAATAGAAGCGTATTAAAAATAATTTAAAAACTTACAGCCCTCGAAAGTAGCCTCAAATGCTTCGGGTCAGTGTCAACAATAATATGCTTTATATCCTGAGCCTTCAGCTGCGCGAGCGCACGTCTGTAGTCACGTGACTCACACCTCACGGCGTACATATCGCGACCATCTCTCGCCAGGCGCACTATGTTTAATTCCCCTGAAATAAAAAAAAATGTATTACTTAAAGTACTTTAATCTGTATCAGTTTATCATTAAGTGCCTATGACAGTACGAATAAGTATTTTATTAATTATTTAAACTGTTTAATATTATGAGAAACATTCTTCTGGGGAATCGAAAGTTTTATCCAAAAGTATTCCTTTTAAAAATGGACCAATTGAAAATACAGATGGCTTTTGTAAGGAATTTTATTTTCCAATTGTATGTGTAGTACTCAAAACTACTAACAGATGGCGCTGACATAAATTTCTTCGAAGAAATTTTACTTGCCAATTGTATTTGTAGTAATACAAACTACTAACAGATGGCGCTGTACATAAATATCAGAATAATTTCAAGTTACTTAACTAGATATCAGTACGAGTCATTTTATTAGTAAATTCAAAACAAGAGGATGTTAATAGCACTGTCATGTTGAAAACTTCTGACAATGGCGACCCTCAAGGACAATATAATATTATATTACGTTCGGATGACTATATAATAGGGCCAATCCACGTCACTACCAAATATTAGACTTGCAAATGTAAATTAGTATGCTAAAACTTTGGAATCCCCGTATAATTATTAATTGTTAAGATGTCGTTAATGACAAAATGTCTCAGGGTATATGGAAATTTGATTATAGGGAATATTTTTTTATGCTTTTTTTCAAATTTATGTAAATAGAATTCGATTCGGAAGCAATAATCTGATGTAAAAAGAAATCTGTTATTTCATATTTGTTATTTATATAATATATTGATGTCAAAATTAAAATTGTTTCGTAGATTCAGAAACAAACAAGATTTTATGATAAATTCAGTAATTTATATTATTTTGTTTAGAATAATTTGAACTATATACACATATGAATTTAAAATGTTCTAGTTTTTAGGTAGAAAATGAAAACTTGTTCCCTAGGCTCTTATCTTTTGAGGAAATGTTCAAGCCAGTATCGGTCGCGCAAAACTTCCTATTTATACATTCTAATAAGACATTTTCTTATTATTACACCACGTAACTCAAAAGATTTCATTTAGTAACCAATAATATGCATAAATTGTAAAAAAATAAAAAAGCTAAACACGAAATACGAAAGTAAGTAAGAAAAACACAGTAGAATTATATTTCAGTTTTCATATTTTTGTCAGTACGGTTTTAAATTAAAACGTATATATTAGTCATATATATATTGGGCAGGAATTATTTGGAAAATCCCATATATAATTCCAATTTCAACGATAACCCCTAAAATCCATTATGTGTACGTCTAGTAGAGAATCTTAATACATATTAGTAATATCTAATCCCCTTACCGCTTCCGTAATCCTCATATATAATACCCATCCTCGTCCAGTTTAGGAAAGCGGTGAGGTCAACGAACGCTGTGTCCAAAAGTTCTCTAGATGGGTATAGATTGATCGTGTAGTCTGTTGTGTTTGGACCTGGAAATAAACGTAGACCTTCATTTTATAACCCTAGTATTGGAGACTAAGTATTTACTCAGGAAATAGAAACTCAGTAGTCTTTACTCAGAAAATAGAGACTCAGTAGTATTTACACAGAAAATAGAGACTCAGTAGTATTTTCTCAGGAAATAGAAACTAAATTTTTTTGGAGCAATTAAATGTAAAGCTTCAAATAAAATTAAATAGAAAGTACATTATTAGTTTTGACCATAGCAATTTTATGTTAGTTTACTCAAATAATACTACTTAGAAAGTAAATTATATCCACTTACTCTCAACCACATGGGGGGCGACTGTTAAATGTGGTGCGTGCAGAGTACGACACATAGCTGACAGAGTAGAACCAAGCAGTGGCCCAGCACTGCTAAAGATTGCTATAGCACCGGATTTTATTTGAGTGCAAGCTGGTAAAAAAACAAACGTTTAGTTAAAATTTCTTTTTCATATAAATACATCAAAAAAATTTGGTAAGACAAGTCGACCTATTTTATTTCTTAAAAAATGAAAATAATGCTCAATCAGTCGATCAATCAAATAAATATGATATGTGTACATATAAATAAAAAATCAACAGTAATTTCAATTTTCATATATAATTTATAATGATTTTTTAGGAACAAATAATCTTGGCCATATTTATTAAAACGCGTTGAATAAAGAACAGACAGTGTAACATATACCAAGTATAATATTTAACCAAAACTTTGGTCCAAACAAAACGCCTAAAATGACTTCATTTTTTCTTTTTACCCTAATACGAAAACCTTTTTTTTTTTAATACCTCCATTTTTGGCTTAATTATTTTGCAAAACAGAACATATATGCTCCAAAAAAGCAATCGATTCACGCATTAAATTTAGATATATTAAAAATTCATTTCATCCCAACCATCAAACACTTCGACAGAAAATGAACTTTGAGATAATTAACCAAATGAGACAATTAGAACAGAATTTACACCTTAATTGGCTGAGAGCGTGTTCAGTGAATTCGCTTTCAATTATATTATAAAGCAAACACTTAATACAATTTGCAGTTATACTTAATAGATAAGACATTATTTTTAATTAATTAACTAATTAATCAATGCATTCCCAAAAAGGGTTGATTTCAGACAGGCGGCTGTTCGTAAAAACAATTAGCCAAAACTATTCACAACATGTCAGGCAGACCCTGGCTAGAGTTGGGAAATTGCCAGGAAGAAGAAGAAGATGAGACATTATTTTTATTATTTTTTAAAATATCACCTAAAAAAGACATCTAACAAATGCAGGATACTTCATCAGGCAAGTAAACGGTTACTTTGTGATTTTATTAGACAACATCGGTTGGATGCACGGCAGTTACTTCAAATTGATGTTCTAAGTCTTAACCTAGATATAATTCCTTCATCACAAGAGATATTGAGCATTTTTTTCCTACTGGCCCATAAACGACAGAAAAATATCTCGAGTATACAATTATAGTTACAGCTTTTGTTCTTGTATTGGGGCTAATGAAAACTTGTAGAATGAACTCATATGATTATTGATTTTAATAACATAGCAAATGGAGATATTACGCGAAGGGATGAATGTCATATAACAAGAAGAATGTTTGATATATGTGGAGGGATGTGTGTCGAGGTAGAATTAGGAAAAGATGGATGTATTGTGTGAAGGATGACATGGCTAAGAAAGGAGTAACAAATGAGATGACGACTGATAGAAGAGACTGGAGAAGAACATGTTGTGACGACCATATATAGAGTGGGACCAGGGCAGGAAGAAGAATTACATAGCAAAATTATTACATATATGACATCTTATAGTGCGTCAAGTAAAGAAGATATTTTGATTTTCAATGAGATGAAAACTCTTTTTTCTATATGACATATTCTCATAGAATTAATTATTCGAAATCCTACACACACATATATACAAATAGACATACTAGTTGGTCCGGCAAACGTTTTTTTGCCATAAAAAAGCGGTTGGTGATAAAAAAAAGTTAAAATTTTGGGTTGTATGTTTTAATGCCACATTTTTCGTCCAAAAAATAAGGGTGAACAACCTTTATAACTAAGGTTTATGAATATATATGTAGTAGACGATTCTCAGACTACTGAATACAAATAAAATTTGGTAAAAAATAGTAAAGCCATTTCAGAGTATAGTAACTAAGATTGTGAAATAGAAATGTTATACATATATTTGATATTGTATATCCTAGGCCCATCTATTGATGAGACGATGTCATAAATCTTAGTGGGTGAGTATTATTTAATGCACTTTATTAGGTAACGAACTAAACTTAGTTAACTTGTTCTTCTAGTATAAATGATCCTAATATTTTCGGATTTACTACGCGACTTTATTTTTGTTTATAAACTACATACTCCCGACGTTTCGATTATTTTACAGCAGCCGTGATCACGGACAGACGAGATGACGATCTAGTATGTAGTTTATAGTCAAAAATAAAAATTGCTTAGTAAATCGGAAAATATTAGTTTCATTTAAATGAATACTCGCGAAAATCTAGAAGCTCATTGTTCTTCTAGTATTTTATCGGTTAAATCCAGCGATCTCCTCTAAGCAATCTTTTCCAACTTCGGTAATATAATCATCGTAAGCTCATTAACAAAATCTTTAAGCACTCTTTACTTTAATTATACAAAGAAATCATTCATTAACATGTATTAAATATTGATTAATGCTCAAACCTTCTCCATGTGAGAAAGAGGCCTTGCTCAGCAGTGGGCTTCTGATAGGCTGATGACAAATATTCACCAAAAATAAAATAAAATAGAATATATCTGTCAATCAGAATCAGATATTTTTACTAGTATTTCCGTATTTTTTCCAACTCAATATCAACAGAAATAAAACAAATTTAAACCCCCAAAAAACACGAAGTGCTCTCGACTACGCCACTTTCGGTCGTAGCGTACTCAACGCCGTTCCGTTTTTTAATTTAAATTCATTTGATATATTTTTTTAAAAAATACCTCTAGGGCTTTTCACGTCAGTACTAGAAATAATTGCGTTTGACACACTAATGACTTTTTAATTTCGCAAACAACACTTGAGGATTTGAACCGACAAAAAAGTCAAGTTATAAATATTCTTTTGGAAAACTGGTCTACCTTTTGTGTAACTTAAATATCATAAAAATATAATTACAGTACAATTAAAACTCAACAGAATAAAATATGTTACTTCCGAGAAATTGTCGCTAAAGTATCAATTTTGCACAATTAAATATGTTTCCAAATTATATTTGGGTGCTTCTTAGAAATAAAGCTATATATCAGGCCCATCATTCCCAAAAATTTCAATCAAAAATAGTTTATAATAATAACAAAATAATAAACTCATACTTATTTTCACTTGAACTGAAAAATCATTTAGCATTCTCAGAGCTTGGAAAACCTCCGCGTCGTTAAAATTAATAGTAAAATTCGTTGCCGGTTTTATTTTCTATATATTTAATTTTCAACATCGCAAAAAATGCAGTCAGAATTTATTTTTTCTAACCCAAATTTATTTAGTAGAATATATTAAGAACGCAGTATTATTCCGAAAGAGGGTTGATGTCAGGCAGACTCTGGCTAAAGTTGGGATATTGCCAGGTGGAAGAAGATTGATTATGCAGTATTAAAACTACGACAACCTTCTGACGAGTTCTAAATAACAAAGTCTTGGGATACAAAAACTCTCATGTTATAGAAGAATAATAGTTTTTTACCACAAAACAATATTTTCAATCTTTTTACCAAAAATTTTCGTATACTATTTTATTCAAAATATATAATATTACTTTAAAATAATGCTTTATGTAAAAGCATCAGCTTTCTCATCATCCATCTAATATGAATGAAGCCATTGTAATTTTAGACTTGCCACTAGCTAGTCACTTTAAGAGCATAATAAGCTATTAGGATTTCTCTAGCTCTAGCTTAACAGCATATAAAATGTACTATAGAATTTCTGCTGTCCGAAAAGATAATATTATTCTGTATAAATGAAAATAATATTTTTTGGATTATACTACGCGTATTTTATTATTGTAAAAACTATATACTCTCGACGTTTCGGTTACTTATTCACATCTCGTCTTAATGATCACGGTTGCTGAAAAGTAATCGAAACGTCGGGAGTATATAGTTTTTACAATAATAAAGTATAATCCGAAAAATATTAGTTTCATTTAAATGAATACTAAAAGTATAAAATCTCAATATTCTGTCCATTTATATTTCTAAAGTAAGATAATCTCTTAGAAATATGAGTAGCAATAAGCTCGAATTGATGAGTCTACAATTTATTTGAATGCTTCAAGTCTTATCAAGAATAAAGATGACCCTTATCTTTAGTACCATCTTCTTCTACCTGGAAATTTTCCAGCTTTAGCCAGGGTCTGCCTTACATGTTGTGAATAGTTTTGGCTAATTGTCATAAAGACCGGCCGCCTGCCTGACATCAACCCTCTTTGGGAATGCATTAATCAGTGATGTCTAAATACTCTTATAAAGTACATATGACTCGGAAAAATCACATTGGTACTTTCACATCATTACATTACTGTTGTTTTAATACGTAATTCAAATTTTAACAAAATTTCTCTTAGAAATATATAGCTTATCAAATTAATAATTTCCAAGCTAATAGCGTAGTAAAAATTTTCATTACTTGCTTCTGAATATAACAGATGATAATTTCGTTTTGTTTCTTAGAAATCTTTTTCGTAATAATAAAATTAATTTAAATATTCCTTGAATAAGCCCATTTTACTAAGTTTGAACTTTTAATTAATATTCTCTACCTTAATAAAGTAGTATATAAAGCGGAGGAATGCAGACTGTTCTTCATTACGTGCAGAGGTGAAGACATAATATAGTCTCAAATTGCTTGCATGCCTTGATTTTGTGCCTTATCCAGACGAAATATTCATTTGCGGTATCATGTTATAAAAAATTTACATATTCATTTAATATTAAAACACACACACATACGTACGCACGCACGCACACACAACGAACAGTCTTGCTATGTAATAAACCCTGTGATTCTTAATTAATTAATAATTAAGTTAGGTTTATATTTATACTTTCATTTTAACTGTGTAATCCTGTATTGTTCTAAGTTTTGTTTAGTTATATTTAAAAATATCATTTCTAAAAGCACTGTTGGATAAATAAATATAGAAACGATACATGGTTAATTCAGACCCATTAAGAACATAAGACTATGAACATCTGTAACAATCATGAGATCTAAGATTTTCGCGAGTATTCATTTAAATGAAACTAATATTTTCGGATTTACTAAATAACAAGACCGACTGACAGACACTCACATCTTAATGATCACGGTTGCTGTAAAGTAGCCGAAACGTCGGGAGTATGTAGTTTATAGTCAAAAATAAAAAACGCGTAGTAAATCCGTAAATATTAGATTCATTTAAATTTATAACAATCTTTTGGTGTCTAGGTATTCTATGAAAACGTGCCTAAATAGATAACTAAATACCTAAGCATAGTAAATCTCCAAGCTCTTTCTGTTAATGTATTTAATTGCCCCTAATGACTCCATTTGAGAGGTCGTACCCTCAAAATCTAGACTTAATTTAAGGTAGACTAAAATATAAGTTAATAAGTTTGTTTTAAATTTTTTTTTTATACAATTGAAGATATTTTTATTATGACTATACTAAATAGTAAAGAAATAGTGGGTCATTTGAGTAGAACTTTCACTTGTCAATCGTCAATAAAAAGACATTATCAATACATAGTATGTTCTAGCAAAACATGATAACAATTTTCATATACATATATAACAAATATATAAAAAATCACAAGTTGTATATTAGTTGTGAAAAGTACTTGGAAATGAGTAATAAAGAATTCAGGTACAAGACAAACCTGCCCTTTACAGCCCGTAATTTTTGAAGTACCAATTTAAGGTTGGATATTTTTTTAGTAAAATTTTCTAGATTCTATAAAACTTTTCTTGTTTTTTCTACAGCCAGTAATTTTGACGATAACTTTCGAAAGTCAGTGGTGGCCTAGTGGTTAAAAGACGCGCCTCTCATGCATGATCTAAACTCAAGTCCGCGGGTTCGATCCTGGCTAGTACTAATGTGATTTTTCCGAGTCATATGTACTTTAAAGGAATATTTAGACATCACTGATTAATGCATTCCCAAAGAGGGTTGATGTCGTAAGAAAAATAGCCAAAACTATTCACAACATGTAAAACACACCCTGGCTAAAACTGAGAAACTGCCAGGTAGAAGATATATATTTTGAAGTACAAGTCCAATATTGGATTTTTTCAGTATTATTTTCCTAGATAGTATCTTTCGTACCTTTCTTGTATGTCCTGAAGGAGTCTCTGGCAGTAGTGTACTGTATGTCGTACACGAGGGTGCTCTCCGGCAGTAAATTTCTTTCTTTATTTATCCTGTACACCGCGTACTTGAAAGCCAACTCTGAACTACCACCGCGAGCTTCTTCAGTGAATATAGCTCCTGGAAAAATTGCTTTTATATAAAGTCTACTACACAATATCGCAAAATGTGTTCTAGTTTTTATTTCTATGAAAGAAAATAGTATATATTTTTAAATAAAACAGCACTATTGTTTGTATTGAAGAATCAAAAGAGAATATTGTTCTAAGTAATGTAAATATCAGATAAATATATATATACAACTAGCTTTCCGCCCGCAGCTTCACCTGCGTCGAGTTCGGTTATATCGCGTTTCCAAGAGAACCTTTCAAAAGTCTGGGATAAAAACTATCCTATGTTCTTTTTCAAGGTCAACTCTATCTCTGTACTAAATTTAATTAAAATCAGTTAGTTGGTTTAGCCGTGGAAGCGTAACAGACAGACAGAGTTACTTTCGCATTTATAATATTAGTAGGGATATAATTCAATACTACAAGTTAATTATGAATATTATTTAAGGTAAAATTTTATTATTAGTACTAAAAATAAAATCTATTCTCCCTCTGTTGCTTCTATAGTATATAAGAAAAAAGACAGATTCAAACATTCTCTCAACTTATTCTGTTTTTCAAACGTAATCTTAGATCTGCTTTTTGTGATAATTCTTATCGTTATCTAAAACCATAACAAGGCTTTAAGATACACGATAATTACAATCTTCTTCTTCTATATATATAAAAATGGATTGCTGTTCCTTAGTCTCGCTAAAACTCGAGAACAGCTGAACCGATTTGGCTAATTTTAGTCTTGAAATACTCCTGGAAATCCAGGAAAGGTTTAAAAGGTGAGAAAAATTGGAATAATTGCCGGGAAAACCCTAAAAACAGCCCTTTTCTATTTCCCATACAAACGTTTTTTTTGACATTAGATTTGACAACTAACTAATATGTCAATCATTCTGTTTGATTGAAACAGGAAAAACCTGATTATTTATGGCCTCTAAGACGGAATAGAGTTCGCCTGGTCAGCTATACCTACATATATTACTCTTGACCAAACTAACGCGGACGAAGTCGCGGGCAAAAACTAGTTGTTAATAATTATTATTTATAATAATATAACGTTGTTTATATTCTGATATTAATTGAGAATTCTTATGATAGTTAACTGGTATGTATGATATAACTTACCCTCACCTAAAGATTACTTTTGAATATTATAAATAGCATACAATTGCTAGTCTAGGGATTCTTTTACGAGTATGGAGCATTAAACACAGTGGAATTACTACCTAATTTATTCCTAACACTATATTTATTTATTAAGGCAAACACAACAGGTCACAATCACATAGAGAATATTTCTTAAACATTAATAGTATCGAACAGATTATGACCCTAAGGGTGCATGCACAACATGACGGGATTGACAATTATTATTATACAGGAGATAACTATATATTACTACTAAACAATAACAACAGTAGGTATATCAAGAACATAATAAAATTAAATTACATGGACTAAACAAAAAAAGACAAAAATAAAGTAAACATATACAGGGTGACTGGTGAATTACTATCAATATTTAAGGAGAATACTCGGTACATGATTCTCATTCGAATTATGTAAAAAAAATAGGCACTTAATTTTTGACAAAATTTCCGTATAAATAAATAAAGTGTTGACACGTTCCAAGTGTTCCAAGTGTTCCAAGTGTGGACGGGTGCGGCGGCGTGGTGTTTTATGTGTGAGTGTTTTATGTGTGACCTAATCTGTCGGGTGTTCACACGATGCGTAATTAATTACATAACTTTTGGTTAACTTTACTTAGAAGTTTATTAATATTTATGTTAAATTAATTTTTATTTTGTCATATATGATCGTCAAATATCACGTCCTCAAGTATCGATAGTAAGTCACCAGTCACCCTGTATATTTTTGGCACTATTATTTTGAAATTTATTTCTACATGTAGTAAGTGGTTACCTATTTTAATGACAGGTGACAAAGCAGCAACAGTATTGAGGATCAGTACGAGCCAGCGCCACTCTTTCCACATATTGCACCATCTCACAATCTAAGATACTGCACCATCTGAAACAAATTAACTCTTTAAATAACTACAATTGATGTCCTAATGATTACCTGGAAAATATCACGGGAAAAATAAGGATATTTTGCAGTTCTTGTTACCAATAGTTGCAAAGAAATTATTTAAGTAATCGCTACTAATATCATAAATGCGAAAGTAACTCTGTCTGTCTGTTACGCTTTCACGTCTAAACCACTGAACTGATTTTAATGAAATTTGGTATAAAGATAGAGTCGACTTTGAGAAAGAAAATAGGATAGTTTTTATCCCAGATATTTGAAAGGTTCTCTTGGAAACTCGATATAACCGAACTCCACGTGGGCGAAGCTGCGGGCGGAAAGCTAGTGACAAATACATATTTTTCTTCCTCACACTCTGTTTAAAACTTACTAATAAATTAAATATTTTGAGACGATTTTTTTCAATATTCCCATTTCGAGATTCCGTATTAAGCACATTACGAGTAGGAATCCTTTTTAAGATTAAAGAAAAATGTTACCTTTAAATAATCATGAGAATTGTCTACCAGAAATAAGTGTTCAGTAATAAAATCAATCAAAAAAATGCCACTTAATTGCAAATTTCTCAACATCGCTTACACTTATTTCATATTACAATATGTAGTGAAGAATTGCAATCACATTAATATATCGGTACTAGGACTAAGTATTACATTCATTTTATAAATTAGAAATGTATAATAATATTAGTCATGATTATATGGTATATAAAGAACGTAATATAAAGTCAGTGGTGGCCTAGTGGTTAAAAGGCCCGCCTATCATGCTCGAGGGCGCCGGTTCGATCCTGGCCCGGGCAAGTACCAATGTGATTTTTCCGAGTCATATGTACTTTATAAGAGTATTTAGACACCACTGATTAATGCAATTCCAAAAGAAGGTTGATGTCAGGCAGGCGGCCGGTCGTAAAAACAATGACTATTCACAACAGTAAGGCATACCCCGGGAAAAAGCTGGGAAAAATTACCAGGTGGAAGATATAAAAAACGTAATATAAATGAAACTAATATTTTTCGGATGTACTATGCGACTTTATGTTAGTTAAAAACCACATACTCCCGACATTTTGATTACTTTACAGGAACCGTGATTTTATATTGTGTATTTTTCATTTCAAAAATCCTATCTTATAACTTCAAGTCAACGCCCAATAATCTACTCACTGCCGATCAATAAATACTACCGTATATATTTCGTTCGATCAAGAAAAATGTTTTTTTGTAAAAGCAAGGTCTTTTAAGTCACTTCAGAAAAAGATATCAAATAGATTAATAAATTCATTTATCTCATCCTAAAGTTCCATCTGATATTTACAATAAAAAAAGGGAGTTGCCCAGTGCCCATGAAATAATTCAACAAATGTTGATATTCCTATCTAAATTTAAAGGAAATGATGCTTTTTTTCATATTAATATTTATATTTAACTATTCATTTAATTAGTCAGTGGTGGCCTAGTGGTTAAGGGGCCCGCCTCTCGTTGCCGAGGGAACGGGTTCAAACCTGGCAAGTACCAATGTGATTTTTCGAAGTCATATTTACTTTCTGAGAGTATTTAGACAGCACTGACATACGGTGAAGAAAAACATCGTGAGGAAACCTGGACTTATAGTTTCACAATTATAAGTTTTAAATCACCAACCCGTCTTGAGCAAGCGTGGTGGTTCAAACCTTCTCCATATGAGAAGAGGCTATGCTCAGCAGTGGACTCTGATAGGCTGATGACAATTCATTTAAAAGGAAAATTACATATGTATAACGATATTATGATAAAGTATATAGAATTCAAAGTTATGTATTGTCATAACACAATAGCTTAGTTCGTAAAGCAACTAAAATCGATATTTCGGAGGTCGCGAATTCGAATCCAGCTCATGATAATGAATTCTTCATAATATATTTTGTAATTTAAATTTTAATTCATATAAAATATAAAACTGAATCACAAAATTTAGGTTTCAGTATTCATTTTTTTTTTTGGTACTTTTTCTTTTGTGTAATTTAAGAAAAATACTAATAAGATATATCACAACTTAAAATATATTTCTTTACAAGCCTAAAAGTTCGTAATTTTTTTGGAGATAATAAAAATAATATTAGTGTCGAATTTTTTTTAATTATTACTATTTCCCATTCAAATCAGTACACAACCGGATGTTTGTTCTATATATTTACAAAACATGTTGATCAAAACAACGTCCATCCGGTGTGAAAGATATTGCCCCGATTCGTGCACTGCATCCAAAATAAACAAGAATCATGAATATATTTCATACATCGTTAGTTCTATCGGCTTTATCGGCTTGGTCCTTGCATTAATACCTCGTGTCAAACTACCAAATATTAAACTATTTGTAGAATAAATCCTTCTTAAGCCTGGCAATTTCCCAGCTACAGCCAGGGTCTGCCTTACATGTTGTGAATAGTTTCTGGCTATTTGTTTTTACGACCGGCCGCCTGCCTGACATCAACCCTCTTTTGGGAATCAACATTAATCAGTGATGTCTAAATACTCTTAGAAAGTACAAATGATTCGGAAAAATCACATTGGTACTTGCCCGGGCCAGGATCGAACCCGCGCCCTCGACGACGAGAGGCGGGACCTTTAACCACTGAGCCACCACTGATAATTATAAACGTATATTTCGTTCGATCAAAAAAGATTTTTTTTTACTAAAGCAAGATCTTTTTCTACGTCACTTCAGAAGGAGATATCAAATAGATTAATAAATTCGTTTATCTGATCCTAAAGTTCCGTCTGATATTTAAAAATAAAAAAAGGGAGTTGCCCAGTGCATCATGAAATAATTCAAAAAATGTTGATATTCCTATCTAAATTTATTCATTTAATTAGTCAGTGGTGGCCTAGTGGTTAAGGGGCCCGCCTCTCGTTGCCGAGGGAACGGGTTCAAACCTGGCAAGTACCAATGTGATTTTTCGAAGTCATATGCACTTTCTGAGAGTATTTAGACATCACTGACATACGGTGAAGGAAAACATCGTGAGGAAACCTGGATTTATAATTTCACAATTATAAGTTTGAAATCACCAACCCGTCTTGAGCAAGCGTGGTGATTAATGCTCAAACCTTCTCCATGTGAGAAAGAGGCCTTACAGCAGTGGGCTCTGATAGGCTGATGACAATTCATTTAAAAGGAAAATTACATATGTGTAACGATATTATGATAAAATATATAGAATTCAAAGTTATGTATTGTCAGAACACAATAGCTTAGTTCGTAAAGCAACTGAAATCGATATTTCGGAGGTCGCGAATTCGAATCCAGCTCATGATAATGAATTCTTCATAATATATTTTGTAATTTAAATTTTAATTCATATAAAACTGAATCACAAAATTTAGGTTTCAATATTCATTTTTTTGGGTGCTTTTTCTTTTGTGTAATTTAAGAAAAATACTAATAAGATATATCACAACTTAAAATATATTTCTTTACAAGCCTCAAAGTTAATTATTTTTTTGGAGATAATAATAATAATAGTATCGAATTTTTTTAAATTATTACAAAACTATTTCTAATTCAAATCAGTACACAACCGGATGTTTGTTCTATATATTTACAAAACATGTTGATCAAAACAACGTCCATCCGGTGTGAAAGATATTGCCCCGATTCGTGTACTGCATCCAAAATAAACAAGAATCATGAATATATTTCATACATCGTTAGTTCCATCGGGTTTATCGGCTTGGTCCTTTCAAACTACCAAATATTAAACTATTTGTAGAATAAATCCTTCTTAAACCTGGCAATTTCCCAGCTTTAGCCAGGGTCTGCCTTATATGTTATTAATTGTTTTTACGACCGGCCGCCTGCCTGACATCAACCCTCTTTGGGAATGCATTAATCAGTGATGTCTAAATACTCTTATAAAGTACATATGACTCGGAGAAATCACATTGGTACTTGCCAGGATCGAACCCACGCCCTCATGCATGAGAGGCGGGCCTTTTAACCACTAGGCCACCACTGACTTGTTTTGTAGAATAAATAGTAATGGTAAACTATAAAATGATAAAATAAATTCAAATAAAAGACTAACAATACGATATAGGTTTTGATTTCATAACTTTTATGTTATCTCTGTTGGCAACAGCGCAATTTTAAATTTATTTATATAGCAATATACATATTAAAATCACAAAACGTTTTGTCTAAATTCTCATACAAATGTTGTTCATATTTATTTATCACTAGTTTTTGCCCGCGACTTCGTCCGCGTTAATTTCGTCATTAGTAATATAGGTATAGCTGACCGGACAAACTCTATTCCCTCTTCAATAACCCGGTATCGGTATTTATTAAATTTCTACTGTTTCAATCGAACAGAATGATTGACATATTAGTTAGTTGTCAAATCTAATGTCAAAAAAAGCGTTTGCATGGGAAATAGAAAAGGGCTGTTTTTAGGGTTTTCCCGGCAATTATTCCAATTTTTCTCACCTTTTATACCTTCCCTGAACCTCCACGAACATTTCAAGACTAAGATAAGACAAATCCGTTCAGCTGTTCTCGAGTTTTAGCGAGACTAAGGAACAGCAATCCATTTTTATATATATAGAAGATAGAAGAAGAAGATAGAAGATTACTTATCAACTATGAAAAAACATTTGAAGGATACTTTGAATAGTTGAAAATGGATAGATTTTTATTTATTTTTTCCCCGAATTATATACATAGTTAAAATTAAATATATCCAAAGAAAGGTCAACTTTAAATTTAATAATATGAAAAAGATTCCAAAAAGCCAGTGTAAATTATAAATTTTTCATTTAATCTTTAATTTAAATCTTGCAGCAAATACAAAAATAGTAGTTACAGAGTTTCAAAATATTAATAACTTTTAATAAAAGTAAATTTTCAAAAATCTGTTATCGCAAATTTTTATTTAGCTTAAAATATATGTTATTTGTTCTAATAATATCT